AGATAAAGAGAACCCTTCCATACCTTGAATGTTCGTTACCCAGAAGAAAGATCGAATCTGAACTAGCTCAAAGAATCTGTCGAGCTTTGTCTCCTTCATCTGGAAAATCTTTTCGTTCCTACCCAGCCACAGTGTCCATAATACTGCGAACCAGATAATGTTCCATCCCCTATCAAGTAGTTTCGGACCTCCAAGCCATTTATGTTGCTCAAAAAGCATTAAACATGAATTATCCAGTACATATTGCACGCCCCACCACTTGTAGCATTTCATCCATAATCTAAAAGCCACATTGCATTGAGCAAAAATATGATTGGGCGTCTCAATAGATGAATCACACCAGCAGCAATTTAAATTAGAGTTTGCATTGCAAATTCCTCGGATTGAAAGGTTATCTTTTGTAGGGAGTTTCTTGTGAAGCAGTTGCCAGCAAAATGCACTTACTTTAGGTGGAATGGAGGCTTTACACAATTCCACACCCTTATGAAGTCAGTTGCTGGCTTTGGTTCTCCCTTTAGGATCCATGAGTAAGCTGATTTTGTTGCGTAATTCCTTTAGCTTGACACCTTGCCGCAGCTTCAAGCTATTTGCTCGACTAGTGTAGCTTTGCTGTCATGGCTACAATCAGCAACTCATTTATTACCTGACATATTCGTTTTTCTGATGTTCTCAGAATCTTTGAAGCAGCTATAAAGAACATCTGAGCAATTTTTGGAGAAGCCTTTCTAACTTGCAGGCATATCTCTTCTTCCATTTATAGGCCAGGTACATTTTCTTACAAACTGATTTATGTCTCATTCTCTAAATCAAAATAGCATCACCCTTCAATTAATATTTTGACTATTAAATTAAATGTTGACTTTGTTTTTTTAAGTAGTTGTTTAATATATTTCGTTACTCCTTTAGTTTCGAATGCTTGAGAAAAATGCCTATACGTATTCTTACCATGTCTAAAATATAAAAAGAATATGTACAATGCAGGAAGTGTACGTAATGGAGTTGGTAGGGATAATCATTGAAATTGGCAAGTTTGTGAAGTTTGCTGGTGGTGGAGTTGTGAGATATCTGAAATATCAGATACAATTCAATGATTATTTGGAAGAATTCAAAGCAGCCAAAGAAGACTTGTGCCGCAGAAAGCTTGACATTGAATCAAGATTGGAACCGGAGCTTCAATGTGGGAAGGTTCCAAGGGAGGAAGTGCAAAAGTGGCTAAATGATGTGGATCAAGAGATTACAAGACAAGATCTTGAAGATGAAGTGAGAAAATGGGGATGTCTCTCTTGTTGTTGTCGAGTAAAGATTCTGGAGGAAAGGACTCAGGAAGTGAAAGAAATATATGCTAGAGGGGATAAATACACTGGTGACTGTTTGGTCATTGAAGATCAGGCTATAATATTCAATGATTGTGTGAAGAATTTTGGAGAATTGAAAGAGATGCTGCGGGGTAAACATCAGGACATTAGTTTAACATTGCGTTCACAGCTTTGTTATGGCAAAATTGAAAAGGAGATAGTTAAAAATTGGCTGGGAAAAGTAGAAGAAATAACTGGCCCTGTTGCCAAAGATATTGAAGATGAAGTCCAAGGTGGATGTCTCTCACATGCTTCCCTAGCAAAACCTCTTAAAGAAAGGATTCAAGAAATGGAGAGATTTTATGAAGAAGGAGGGCAATTGCCAGAGAGTTTGGTTGTCCATGATCCATCAGCCTCAACAGTTGAACTGCCAATATCAGAAATGCAAAGCGGTGACGATATTAAAGCAAAAATACTGGCCAGCTTGCTGGGAGATGAGGTAAGGAAGCTTGGAGTTTGGGGAATGGGGGGTGTGGGGAAAACAACAATCATGATGCATGTTTACAATGAATTATTGAGAGAAGTTAAATTCAAGAAAGTAATTTGGGTGACAGTGTCACAAACTTTTGAAGTCTGTCAACTACAAGAGCAAATTGCAAGCTGCTTGGAGGAAAGGCTAACAGAGCATCAAAGTACAATAATACGTGCAGGAACTTTATCAAAAATGCTAGAAAGACACAGGCCTTTTGTGCTAATTCTAGATAATGTGTGGAGGGGTTTTGAACTTAAAGATGTTGGAATTCCCGAACCACTTGTAACTAATGGTTGCAAATTAGTGTTAACCACTCGCTCTAAAGAAGTTACTCGTATATTGGAGTGTGAGCCAATAGAAGTGAAGACTCTTTCACCAGAGGCATCATTAAAGTTATTCCTAGATAAGGTTGGAGATGATGTTTTGTTACATGATGGGGGCATTAAAGAAACTTTGAAATCAACTTTGAATTGTATCGTGGATGAATGTGATGGTCTTCCCCTTGCAATTGTAACAGTTGCTGGTAGCATGAAGGGAATATCTGACCCACGTTTATGGCGTGTTGCACTGAATCAATTGAAAGAACACACAAGAAATGTGTTAGGTACAGAGGATGATGAGTTTAAGGCATTAAAGTTTAGTTATGACTGTCTGAAAGATCAAATTAAATATTGTTTCTTATATTGTGCAATGTATCCTGAGGACTACAAAATCCCCAAAGAAGAGATAATTGAATGTTGGATTGAAGAAGGGCTAATAGATGTAATGGAGACTAGGCAAGTAATGAAGGATGAGGGCCATGCTATTTTGAGGAAGCTTGAAGATAACTGCTTGTTGGAATTTGTTAAGAATGGAAAAGATTGTGTGAGGATGCATGATGTTGTTCGAGATATGGCATTGCATATTACGAGAACAAGTCCTCGATTCTTTGTGAAGGCTGGCTTGGAATTGAAAGAGCTACCAGAGGTGCAGGAATGGAGAGAAGATATTTTGAAAGTTTCTTTAATGCAAAATTACATACAAGAAATTCCTTCAAGCATGCCATCTCCAAAGTGCCCAATGCTCACAACCTTGTTGTTGTCTCATAACAGTTTCTTGACGATTCCAGAAGCATTCTTTGAGCATATGCTTGGGCTCAAGATTCTTGATCTTTCCAACAATGAAAAGCTAAATAGCCTTCCAAATTCCATCTCCAAATTGGTGAATCTTACTACATTATTGCTATGGGGTTGCATGTGCTTAAAAAAGGTACCATCTTTATCCAACCTCAGTGCCTTGAAAAAGTTAGACCTCCGTGGAACAAAAATTGAAGAATTCCCCCAGGGCCTAGAAATGTTAACAAATCTCAAATATCTTAATCTTAAGCCTTCAATTCTTTTCACTCGTGTTGATGAGGAAGTTATTGAGGAAGTCAACTTAGGATTATTATCTGAAATACCAGATGGAATGCTTTCAAATCTCTCCAAACTCCAGCATTTAGAAGTATCTGGTAAAATACCATTGAAAGGGGAGGAGATGGGAAGACTGGTGAAGCTGGAAAGTCTTAGATGTTGATTCCCTACAGTGCAGGACATGCTCATATTCTTTCTCAGATCTGAAAGAGATGGTCTAATGAGTTGGTACAATCTCATTGTTGGATGCTGGAATTCAAAGAAGTATCCAGACTCTTTGATTTATTCAGAAACAAGTATTGGTTTTGGTAAGAAATCCATTCATTTTAATGGCGTTGATGTTTGTGGAGAGCCTAGTTTGCTACCATCTGATGTACAATATTTGGTGATTGAAAACTGCAACAATATGAGGGGCTTAAATGATATCTTTGACTCTCAAGTAAATGCTCTGGTTCAAGTGGAAGCAGTTGCTAAGTTGGCCACTTTTTCCACTCTAAAACAAATTCACATTTCAAATTGTTCAAAGATAAACAAGTTATTCCCACCTTGGTTGTTGGGGTACCTGCAGAATCTAGAATCTATTAATGTTAGAGAATGCCCTCAACTGGAGGAAATAATAGCATCAGAATCAGAAGAAGAAAAAGAAAGAGAACACTGTGAGAAAATGGAAGAGATAAAATTATCTACATCTAAAGAAGCCATGGAAATCACAGTACCTAAGTTAAAGTTTCTCCGTTTGGTAAGTCTGCCAGGATTGAAGCGCATATGTAGCAGCACCATCATGTTAATATGTGATTCCTTGGAGCGTCTGGTGATTATAGACTGCCAGAAGCTAAGGAGGATTCCTCTCTATCTTCCCCTGCTTGACAACGGCCAACCATCTTCTTCTTCTCTCAAAAAAATCCGGGTGCATCCTAAGGAATGGTGGGAGTCGTTGGAGTGGGACAATCCAAATGCAAAGGAGGTCCTTTCACCCCTCTGTCATTATTCAGGTACTCCCAGGAATTAACTGACTGAATGCTGAATTTACATTTTTAGTTTCTCCTAAAAGACTGTTAGAGTTTGGGGAACTAGTTTCTAATTCTTTGGTTAATATTCTTCACCTTTTTCAGTTCGGTGAATTTGAAAGAAACTACTGGGACTTCCTTTGTTTTCTCCACAGATGGTGAGTTGTGTTTTCTTCTCTATTTTGATTACCAAATATATAGGGAATTAATTAGAGGGAGTTTTTTTTTTATTTTTTTAATAAGCTTACCTGCCATTACATTTTAAAGGAATCATGCTTCTACATTCTCAGTTACTACATGATTCTTGACACACACTTGATTGGATTTTTGAGGAAGTAGATGACGCCTGTATGCATTGTTTATTTGTTTTGATAGGTGAGGAGTTCGTTTATTAAAGATACTGCACAAGATTCTGAAGTTCAGATTGTCACTCAATTGTGACGTGCAAGGTGGCGCTGTTGAGTAGACTCTTTCGAATTTGTAGGCAAGCAACCAATGATATTACAAACAGGAAAACATGAGTTGTAAAGTGAGTAGTCTTTGAACTCCAATAACACACAAACTCTTGCAGTTGAACAAAAGAATGTAAAAGACCAATGAAATATATCTACATAGGGCCTGAAATGGCAGAAATTACGGAATCTTGTTCACGCCTTTCAACATGAAGATGAACAAGACGAACATCAGCAGTTCTCCTTCCAACTTCTGTATTCCTGAAGTCCAAAAACTATGCTTTCTTCCATGGAACTGAGATTAAGCTTTCTGATAAAGAAACAACTAGACGTTAATTATCATCCTGACCAGATAGAGCTCCTCCAATGCACTGAGATTAAGCTCCCTGAGGAAACCTGCAACATTGATGGTACCAATACAATCCAAGACATTTGCAATAGAGATGTGATCGTACCACTTAGTGCTCTGGAATTTTGTCCTTCAAATGTTTTAGAATAGCTTTGGTTCCCTTATCCAGAACTGCCCTCCTGATGCTGAAAAATGACAGAATAGAGTAAAAACTGGAGGATTAGATTTAAAACTCAATGAATTTCATGGTGCCATCAAATGTAATCAAATCTAGTTTATGAACTTAACACTTCTCATGTTTACTGCTCAGTTATATAATCAAATTTTTGGATCAGTCCATTTTAACCCACAGAAAAACCCCAAATCAATACATTTGCATAAGAATTTTGATTAGACTTTGAAAAAGAAAAGGGAATTCTTCAAAATGTAGCATACCTTCTCAATGGATTACCATCCAGTCTCAAGGCCTGTAAGTTTGGTTCAAGCAAACACTGAAAGAAAAACTTTTTATATAAGAAAATTTGTACGGGATTATAAACCAAAAAAGATTACACTTTTTGGCAACAACATAAAAAATCAATGAAATAAAATAAAGGTGAGAAAGCTTCTATTCTGACCAGTTCTGGTGGAAGTGCTGAAATGTTATTGTCGGACAAGTCCAGCTCAGTGAGAGAAGTGAGATTCTTAAATCCCTACATGTGCACAGACAGAATATTAATGACTGTAACGAAACAACAAAACAACAGATGATTGAAAAGACAAAGGATTTCTACCAATATGTAAATAACATGATATTTCTTAGCAAAACCAAGTGTAAATCAAACATTTGCAGGACCAATTACATTAACATGCCTCTGGTATCAAAAGGAGATGAGAAGCCTAACTTCCTAAATATAATATATAATGATGTTAAAGCATAAGATTCAAAAGAACTTTTATGAACTTTATTAAGAACAGATAAAAACTAGGTAGATCAAACAGATGTTGTCCTTGAGATTTTGTTGTATTCATTATCATTATTTGGCCATTGTCTCGGAGAGGATATTGATTTACTGCCCTATTTCTGCAGTAGATGTAATCAAGGAAAAACTTGAAAAGTATTTGTAAGAATGTTGCTGCTGAATTAACACAATTACATTTTATTCCAAAAATCTATATTTGGGGGCTCTTCCAATGAAAAATTCCCCTGGTGCTCTCATTCTGATGAATCACCCATCTTCCTCGCTGAACATTCTTTTTAAAAAAGATACCATACCTCTGGAATAGATTGAAGCGAATTTTGACTCAAGTCTAGGATTTGCAGTTTTTGTAGGCTCATTATATCTGATGGGACTTCATGCAGCTGCATCCGTCTATCAAGTCATCATAAGAAAGGAGTAAGAAAAATATCATATATTGCATAGAAGTAAAGCAGAGCTCACAGACATGCATTATAAAAGCACACCCACACATAAATACATACACCTGTCCACACATCTATGTATATCTCATAATTTTCAGTGGACTAACCTCAAATAAAGCTCCTGCAAATGTGGTAAGCTGGAAAATGCTGGATGCTCTGGTAATGAAGCTGCATTACCACTGAGGTCCAGTATCTGGAGCATAGAGACTGCCTTGAACCCATCTGGAGGGATCTATAGGTGATAAAGGAAATCTTTTCTTAGTTCTAATGGCTGAAATGGGAAAATCCATGTTTGGACATACAGAGAAAAGTATTTACAATAGTATCAGTGTGTCTCCATCATACAAGGTTTACACATTAACGCATACCAAATCTCACCTAGCAGTAACGGACAAAGATGGACAGAGGAAGGCAGGGAGAGAGATTCAAGAGAGTTTTCCAACAAGAATTCTTCTACTAGAGAATCTTCAACATCATGGGGGCACCATGTCAGATATGTAAGAAGCCAACAACAATTTGACACCTTATCAAAAGAGGTGATGCCTACCAATCACTGGATTCTCTTACATTGACAATTGGACCCACTCAACTATTATTTAATTTATTTGCATGTGTCAAATCTTATTGGTCTGTTGCACCATGACAGATATATAACCATGGTCATTATATTGCCTAGTACGATAACAAAGAATTTATAAGGGGGAAAAAAAAAAAAGAATATATCTTACAAATCACCACTGTTCTTTCATGTTTCTTCTCTTACCTGCCTGAGAGGATTGTTATCCAGCTTCAAACATGAAAGATTAGGAAGTGACTTCAAAATTGGTCCTGGCCAATCCTTCATTTTGTTTCTTGATAAAATTAATGTCTGCATGATCAAAACAAATTTCAAGAGACATGCAAATCACCAAACAAGATAGCTTAATGTAAAGCCCCAACTAACAGTAATCTACTGGCACTTCAAGCTTCAAATACAAGATCTCCCAGTATAGATGCCATAAATTCATCATTGATGAGTTCTCAAACTATATACTCAAGTATTACAAACAAAAACAAAGATCAAAGACAACAAATGTCTACAAAATATTATTGTAAAGCATAAATGCAGAAAGATCAGTGACAACATATCTACTAAATTAGTATTGTAAAGCATTTGAGTGAGAAGAAGGAGATGATGACAAATCCATGTTTCCTAAACCAGCAGGATATCAGCCACGAAAATACCTTTAAAGAAGTGCAGGAGGAGAATTCAACTGGTAACTCTTCAATGGAATTTTGAGAAAGATCAACTTTTGTGATTTCACCCGATTCCCAAACTTCAGACGGGACAGCACTTAAGCCCAAGCCTTCCAGAGAGAGTTCCTAAAAATACAAACACAAAAAATTAAGATTTGCTGATATCTGCAGTATCTGCAAAGAGAACTAGTAAGCAATATTTCAATAGAATGTGGTTAAGAATGATTTGTTTGCTACTACAAAGAAATCACTCTTGTGCCAGCTCTTACATCATTTCCTAAAGGAAAAAGCAAAGTTACAAATACATACCTTGGAGGAGAGAGATAACCGAGCCGCCATGACAACTACATCCTGTTTTGTTGGAGAACTAGCTTCAGCATCTATATCAGAAGCTTAATCTTTAGTAATTGAAACAAAATATGATTACAGTTTTAATAGGATGCAAAACTTGAGAAATTAATAGCAACAAGGAGAGTAACATGTGAGACAAAGACAATAGACAAAAGCAATCAACTTAAGAGTGGTATGTATGGAGAAAATCCACAGACCTTGGGCCTCAGAAAGTCTACTTCGAAGATATTTTAGTAAGGCAGATGTGGGTCCAGAAACCAATGAGCTGCATGAGAAACAACATCAGCTGGTAAACTCAACTGATAAAAGCATTGAGAATACACAAATGACCAATTCAAGACTTCAAACCTTCGCAAAGTTCGTAAAGGGTTGCCACTAAGCAAGAGTTTTCGCAGAGTGGTCATCTTGCCTAGAAAAGGAATCAAGAGTTAGATCTCTCATCTCAAATTTTCATGTTAATAAGAAAATTTCAAAATGCATGCCAATTTTCCTTTTCATAAATCAATTCATCTGTTTTTTGTCTCTGTCTGGGTCCCCTTAAGAGCCAAAGAATTGGATTGTGTGGAGATGTCTCAATCTAGTTAGGTAGAATGGACATAATAATGCAAACTGCAAAGAGAAATCATATTCTTATACATAATTGAATGCTAGACATAGACAACAACACACTCTAAAAGAAACTACAGGTTTATTACCCTGATGAAACGCAACTTTCTAGCTCCCAATAATATCTTTTGTTTATTTAGAAAAAAAA